TGAAAATAAGGACAAATATGTATGTGGTGAAGAGCCGAAATATTGGCTAGAATCGAAAGAGTTTTTATTGATCACTCTTCCTACTTTTTCAAACTCCTTACAAGTTTTGAGGGAGCTAAATGGATGATTTCTTGCACTTACAAGAATAGTCGGGTAGTGAGATAGCAAGGAGTAGCCAAAGTGTGTAGATTCAAGAGATAACGTCTACATCGTCTAACTAATCTTATCTACCAGCTAGTAATAAGGCCAATGAGAAAGTGGTATCCCTTATTGATTGAGCTAACAGAGGGCATTGAAGGGATCCTCCTTATTAGAATACACAAATGGGAACGATTTGAATAGGAGCTTGTAGACTGTAGTACCCTTGTTGGGAGTAGAGAAAATGCCTCGAGCCAATATTCGAGTACCAAGTGCTACGACGCCGAAGTAACCTATGTCAAACTCCTAAGAAAAGCTCAAACGACCTTTAACAAAAGGGTACTTATACCCGAAACCAACATAGATAGGTAGGTAGAGAATATCTAGGGGCGCAAGTACCATTCTTATCGCCTCTTTCATGAGGTGTTGATCCGGCTTATGCGACTACGAAATCCGCATAGCTCCTAATACGCGTATTGGAGCTCTTCGCTCGATGTCCCAAGTTGGTCTGTTGTAAACCGTTGTTTCGTCAGGCGGTGACTTATTTGTAACACCCCCTTACTAGATCAAACNCCTTATTAGAATACACAAATGGGAACGATTTGAATAGGAGCTTGTAGACTGTAGTACCCTTGTTGGGAGTAGAGAAAATGCCTCGAGCCAATAAGCTCCATTGAATGAATCAACTTCTCCCTCTCGAACAAGGGTCATATCTACTAGATAAAGAAATCATCCTTATTTCTTGTCTAAAAGCATTATACTCCAACATGCCAGAGTTTTGGTTAACCTCATCCCCCAACCACACCAACCCATTAACAATCACCCTTCAATTATCCTAGTTGCCCATAAGCCATGGAATTAAATCACAAACATAATTTGCAAACAAAATTACAGTGGCATCAAAGTTGAATCTACCTAAAAAAAATTTCAATAATATTGAACCTAATTATTGTAGGTCTTTGGGTGTAGTGAACAAAACTTCAATGGCATCAATAGAATCAATAAGACTGCGACACTAAGAATCAATAAGGAACTTCAAGGGCATCGATGAGGTGTGATGGTAAACTGTTGTGTTTGAGACATTTTGTCGAACACGTGGTGGTTGTGGTTTAATTTGGTCGACAGGGAGAGGTAGTGATTTGGGCGGTGGCTGGAAAATTGGCGAAAGTGGTGGACAGATGTGTTAGGTGGGGGTTCTATGTACATATGCAGTGGCTAGGAACTTGGCGAAAGTGGTGGACAAATGTGTTTTGTGTGGGGGTTCTATATACGTGACTATATGTAAGTGTGTGTGTGTGAAAATANCAAATGTGTTTTGTGTGGGGGTTCTATATACGTGACTATATGTAAGTGTGTGTGTGAAAAGAGAGTGGTAGGAGAGATAGAGAGATATAGAGAGACAGAGATTTTTTAGTAGTACACCCTAAGACCAATCGTATAGATAACATTTTGGGATTGTACTAGTGACATTCATTACTTAATTAAATAAAAGGGCAAACTTATTTATCATGTTTCTGGCTAATTTTATTTTAATACACATGATATAGTCCATAGAATCTAAGTTAAGAAGATAGTTTCTCAAAGAATTGAAAAGAAGAGACTTATACTTCTTAGTACTTAACTCTTAAATGTTCTTAGTCATAGGATTACTATGTGGGCACTATGTAATCCAGATAGACTAGCATACACTATGTTTACTCATATATGATATAAGGTGACTCGTCCAAGTCACTAGTGTAAGGATACTAAAGCAAGTGTGTCGGTGCTTGTTAGAGAACAAGTACATTGAACGTGATCATTGACTAACGTATGATTTTTCATATGGAGTTCTACATACCTGTCAATATTAAATCTTAAAGTTATAATTATGTAACTGGTCCTTATACTTGAGACACCATGGTTGTCTTGTGCATGAACTTTTATACTTTAACTATACAACATATTCATATACTAACCATGTAACTTGAATATGTATTGTTGGGTATAGTTAGACATGCATGAAGACTTATGAGTGTACAACATGGAATCTATCACCCTTAATAAATATAGGGAGAATGTCCTATGTGATCTTCTGGGATATGACTCAAGGAGTCCTTAGCCAAGGCAAAATGACAATTAGAAAGAGTTCCTAATTGATCATTAAGAGTCATAGTTCTAAGATTGAACACATAAGATTGAGTTAGGGGTCTGACAGTAATTTCATACCCTAATAATTCAATTGGGATATTATATGATAGAAAGATTAAATTGCATGATATCGATACATTGAATAAGTTCTTTACCTATTTCGTGCTATCTAGAGATTGATCATGATATGTTGTTAGGTGTCACTCATGATTAGTAGAAGCCTGAAAAATGAAATTAATATAAAATATATTAATTATTCTTAATAAAGGGAGAATTAGAAGAGTTCTAATTCAAGCTAAATTAGAAAGCGTTCTAATTTAAGATGCTACTTGTAATTAGTATCAAATGCCTACAACCAGGTATGCTTGAACATGTAGGGCCACACACACTAGAATTGATTCAAAATTAAAGGATAAAGGAGAGACAACCAATTAAGAGTTAATTAGGGTGAAAACCTAATTAAGATTTAATTGGGGACTTTTTATTATAATTAATAGTTAATAAATGTGTTATATATAATTATGAGATAATTGCAACTTGACCCAAACTAAGATTAGAGTCTTTAAAGCTCTATAAATAACTTTATGTAGGAGGTGGATATCGATAAAGACCAAACATTTCCGAAGCTCGAGGTAAAGATCAAATTCAAATTTGAAGGTTCAAAGTTTTTGAGAATGCTTAAAAATAGTTAAAAGCACTCTTCAAGAAATAACTCTTAATCTTCACTATAGATCTAAAGTTTCTCGATTTGTATTAAACATGAATAAATCTTGGAACGAGGAATCAAATTATTATTTTTTAAATTTTGCTGCATTTATTATATGATTCCTTTCAATATTAGGGTGGACAAATTTTTGTGTGTGAGTTGTAGTTCGTAAAGAGAGACTATATGTCAATGAGGCATCATTGGTGAGAAGGAGATTACCTACCGCTATGTCTCGTTAGTGGTTTGTCATTGCTTCAACAATGTTGATAAGAGGTTGTTGGTGAAAGAGCAGAGATGGGAAAGAGAGATAGAAGGGTTGTTGGTGATGGGTCGTGAGAAAGGGTTAGATACAACAATCTCGTAGATGGTAGCATATGATACGACAATCGTGTGAGAATAGGGGATTGAGTAGAGATGTGTTTGAATGGTTGGATCTGTTAGTTAGAGCTTTCTCTCACGTCTCTAACTCTTTCTCCAAAATTTTATGGGCAAAAAAACATATTTTGGAGATCGAATTTCATTCGTTAGGTTAACAATCAATATTTACCAAATAATTTGAGATGTTCGAACAATTTTATAAGTCAGGAGATTCAAAATCCTTTATACTTTATTATCTAGATTACTAGAGTTTGTCCCGAGTGAGGCACAAAAATTGCACACATCCCCTTCCCCCCTCCCCATCCACCTTTCCTTTTTTTTTTCTTTTTTTTTCTTCTGTTGACATCATACCATTTAAAAAGTTGAATATAAAATTATTAAAAAAATTAGGGTGGTAAAATAATTGTGTAAAGCTATGTCGATGAAGCTATGTTGCTAAAAAAAATTAAATTAACGACTCATTTTTTAAAGAAAATTATATCAGTGATAGTTAACTAGTGGGGTAGAGGGATAGTTACATGAGACATGTATTAGAACATTATTGGTTAAGTGATAATTAAATAATTGAAAATTCTAAGAAAAAAGAAAAATGGAAAGGAAGGCTTCCTATGAAGCACGGATACTTCAAAAGGGTCAAAGTATCCGTATCAGATACTTTTGGATAGGGATACGCGTCGGATACGTACTGGATACGTCTAAGAAGTATCCTAAAATTTTAAAAAAAAATTGGTTTTCGGATATGGCCGGATACGTTTTGGATACGTGTGGGATACGCCTAGGATACACATAAGGATACGGCGGGGTATTACTCGAATTTTAAAAAAGTATAGGGGCACAAGAGCAATATATGTAGGCCCTTATTTGCAAAAAAAAATATATATTATTAAACTAAAAGTCTAAAAGACTAAAATCTGTACACTTTTCTTCCACAGCCCGTCAAGCCCTCCACTCCCTTCAGTCGACACTCGACGACGATCGTCTCTCTTTCTTTCTCTCACTCACTCACACTGACGATCGACTGACTTTAATGGTTAGATATTATTATATATCTTTGATGGAAGTGAGATTTACTTTATAAATCATAATTATTACATTAAATATAATAATAAAATTTTAAAAAATATATATTTTATGGACGTATCCTACCCGTACCTGTATCCAATTTTTTTTGATTTTGTCGTATCCCCGTACCCGTATCATATCGTATCCATATCTCGTATCCGTATCCGTGCTTCATAGAAGGCTTCTCAAGACACCTCCTACCTAATTTGATTGATTTATATATATATGGTAGATAAATATGGATACTTTTATAAAATTGTCATCTCTATTAGTTTCTGCTAAATGACAAATGCTGACTAGGGATGTAAATCATATTTCAGATAATAGAAAGGGGATTATTGAAAATAAAATAACATATAAGGGATATGTAAGAAATTTTCTCAAAAGAGCCACACCTTGAGACTGATTTTTTTTTTTTTTTTGACCAGATCTTGAGACTGATTTGAAAGCAAAATTTGTATTCCCTAACAAGTACAAAAGCAACCACCCACCATATGGTCCTTATTTTAACACCCAAACTTAAAATTCAGAGTCCCGTTTCAATTTCTATTACTCGTCTTGGAAACAAAGAAGAAACGATTCTAGATCAATGGAAGGCGAAGCTTCATTGTAAGTGACGTGAAACCCAAATTCTCCTTATGAAACTTGACTTAGAAATTTCTTTCATTGATCATTTTTTAAACCCATGGCAGGTTTGAGACTAGTGAAATACTGGCAACCTTTCTGGCCTCCACACCACTGCTATCTGAGTCCTGGAATATTTGCAGCCATGCCAACGCCACAGCACCGCAAAGTTTTATCTCGAATCGAATCGGGGCCGTGACTTATGTTGCCTTTTCCGGGGTGCAAGCGGTTGCCGGGTTGGAACCCGGTTGCAGGAATCTGGTACCGTTGCACGAGACTGCAACCGGGCTGTTTCCTGCGTTGCATCGGCATGTTGACGGCGAAGACCCGGTCATGGTTCACGAGGGGTTGTTGCATCTGTTCCTGTCTATGTATAACAGCCAAATCTTCCAAAACCAGGTCAGTTTCTTCATGTTTCATCATATGCATATCCCATAATTCTTGGGTTTTGTCAACAAATTCCGGCTAAGCAAGTCATCTTCTGATGACAATCAATCTTTTACCAATCAAAAATTAGTATTTTAGAAGGATGAATTGTGCGGTTGACATTTAGGATGAATGGGATTCCATATTTATATGCACAGTAATATAGAAACGAAATTCAAAATTAATTTCTAATGAACTGTCTGGAAGTAGCTGGTAATATACAAATGACAATCTTCGAATTAGGATTGAAAGCTTCAGACAACTAGCTTCTTCCTGTCCTGCCATTTGGTTTATTATCCTACCATCCGATTACATGTTATAAATGACACAATAATCTTTTTACACAGTTGATAGATGTTCTACAAAGTTTCAGACAAGGACTAATTGTTTCCTTTAGAGCTAGTCAATCTTTGAAGTCAAACTTAGGAAAGCAATAGTATAATACTTATCAACAACCCTTTATTTATACAATACAAGTTAAAAACAATGTATTGTGTAAAAATTTCTATTATTTGCATTGAACAATAATTTAACTCTCTTAATTCTTCATTTTAATTGATTAGGTTATTTTTAATTTTAGGTCTTAATGAATTTGTGTAGTGTTAACATCTCATCTCACCTCAAGAACAATCACCCCTAATTATAAGTGAAAGGAGTTGTTCTATGTTTGGCAAGTTGATTATTTTAATACACATATTCAAATCACCTAGATGAGACGTGGCTTTTCTGGAACCTGTCCCTGGAAGATTAAATTTAACTGAATAACTTTTTATTTAAAGAAACATTTTATGGGTGGAATGATAATGAGAGACAACTAGCTCTGAGGAGGACTGGAATACCATAGGAGAACAAGATTATAATATAGATATATATTTTTTTGGGTAATTCATTGGCATATGATTTCGTTAGGCATGAACCTAATTTTGTTTGTCTCTATGGAAAATTTGATTACCTGCAAGTGTTAACCAAGCTGGAATAATTATATACCGACCATCACTGATAGAATGTCAAGTAAATTGACTGTGACTTGTTTGTCCCAGATAAGTCAAGTGGGTCTAGGTGCATGATGTTCAAAGGAAGCCTCCTGTATTTTTCATTTTAGACGGTCAAA